CGCCGTTTACGTATGCAGAAAATGGTGGAGTTGTCGGGTTCGCCAGGAGTTGGAAGGAGAGTGCAAGGAGAAGGGGCTGTACGCGAAAGTCCGAGTAGAAAAGGGAAAAGTCGGGAAGGAGAGAGAAGGAGAGAGCGAGAGAAAAGCGCAGTTTAAGTGCTCGCTCGAGTGAGAAGGCGTCGGTACAGAGACAAGGCGCTAATGAAATAGTCGGTTATGTTTTAAGTACTGCTGCTTAATGTACATTCCACGTCGTTTCGCGGCAGCGGGCCGAAAGTTCCGGTTTAACTTGCCCCGGCTGCCTTCTGCTCTGGCAATCGCGAAAATTCGAGCTCACGAGCGGAGCAAGGTTATCGCGGAAAATCCTCAGGTCTCCGCGCTCCTTTTTTCAAATATTTGAATGAGACACTTAAGAAATACACTTAATTAAGATTGGATCACGGTCCCGGGATTATTTTCGCCCTCGTCGTACGTCAATTTTGCCGGATACAGACGAACGTCGAAGATTGTCGATCTAAATGAATGCGAGGCGCGCTCGACTTTAATCGATTTTCGCTTAATCGCGTTATATCCATCTTTCCGTCATTTAATTTGCACACAAAGGAACGGATCGAATTAGTCCCATAAGGGCGTTAAACCACCGCGAAAAGTTATGAAGCGTAACACGAGGCTTAACTCGTGGCAGCTTAAGGGGTTAATAAGATATTTAGTTTACTAACATTTGGACGGAGCCAAGGGTTTATGCGGGGCTAGTGAGAGCCACCCGTGGTCTAAGAGACTTAGAAGCTAGCGGTCACCCCTTGAGTGCATTCTCCTGTTCCGCAGTGTCTACCGACGCTTTAGGCTTTCAAGATCATTAATTTAAGGCGCCGCCACCGCCGCAGGCACTGCGAGGCACTGAATTCTCGATGCTTTCTAGAGGAAGACTCGAAGCAGTAGGACGGAAAAGAAGCAGACGAGAGGGAAAGAATTCCCAAACTCGCTTAGTGTTTATCGATCGTTCTCAATTGGCTAAAAGCTCGCAACGCGAGGATTAATAAGCTGCCGATTTATCGCGTCGTCATTTCTACAATTTAATTCTTTAGACTAACATCGATTGAGTTATCAATGAGTTCATGATATAGTTTGCGCGTAAAGAAAATTTCAAATTACGTCAAGTCGAATGGCGGAGAAAAAGAGAGAGAGAGAGAGAGAGAGAGGAGGGAGGGATAGGGAGAGCAAGTCGTAGACTCGAAAGGAATGTGAGAAAAATAGTCGAGACAAATATCGATCGCGATGCGTCTGGCTGAGGAGCGAGGACAGCTGGGCTATCGGGATGGTCGAGTAGGCGAGCTATTTGCGGGATAATGCGAGATTGAAGGAATAAGGACGGCCAGAAGAAGGGCCATGGTAGGTAAGCTGCAGACGGAAGTGGTTATATGGGCGAACCGGCGCGGCGACTGGGGACGAAGAAGCGGAATGGCGAATGGCAGCCAGGAAGCAGTGGACAGGGAAGCGGGGACAAAGTTGTGTGGGACATTTAAGGCTGTTGGTGTTACGAATGCACGCGATGCTTGCTTAGATTCACCTTGTTGAATATTACATGGAGGGACGCCACGCGATCTTGCCTACGGCTCAATCTCGCGTTGTTAAACCTGATCGGTGCAGGCTAATCGCGAGCGGAGCCGCAGAGATCTTAATGGTGAATTTTGCGATAGGAGTGAATTAAGCCAATAAGTTTTCAGCTCGCAGAATTTCTATTTTCGCAATGATAATCGGAAGCTCGGTTGTCGCATCGTTTGGCACGAAGCGTTAAAAGATTGCGATCAATCGAGAGTAAATTGGTTCGAGCCCTTGCACGGGAAGTCGAGGGAGAAAGACACGTTTGTTATATCGTTCGGATTTGATTGCGCGGTTCGCATGAAATTTGGTCGGCGGACTTTCGATCGGTATAACGAAGCCGGACAATAACGCGCTATGTGCGCAACGGCGTAATATGTCACACGGTCTGTAAACAACACGAGCCGCCCATATTTTTCGGCAAAATTCAATTTTTTAGTTAACGTAAATACAATTATTCTGTGAAACGTGCTGAACGTGATAGCGAAATCTAATAAAATATCATCACCAACCATCGCCTTAAAAAAAGGCCATAATTTCAATTGGCTTGAGCCTTCCATATTGCGAAAGCAGGAGATAGCGGAGATGTTCTATATAAAGAAATTCAATGACACCCTAAATTTACGAAACGAACACAGAGAACCTTAACGCGATATATGACGGCCTATTAACGAACACCTGACAACTTATTTTACGTTTTTCCTTCTTTTTATTTTGTAATTTTGACGTTACTTCAATGTTCTTTTTTCTTGATGTCTTATTTATTCAATTTCCAATAGTACTTCTCTTCTTTCCTCTAATTTTGACCCTGACCATATTTTTAGTGCTTCTTTTTATTTATTTATCGTTCTGTGTCTTTTCGATGTAACGTCCCTGACCGTAGTCCTACGGTGGCTGTTGTGTCGAATGGACGTGCCTTCAAACACAGTTTTCCTGATATCTAGAGACGGATGACATCTTTTTTACAATTTAATTTTTAACTAATCCATGTAAGTGTAGAGTTGTGAATCCCATTTCGCCTCGATGGCTAATACTGCTAATTGCTGTACGAACGGCTTACAGATAATGAGTTTCTTCAAATTGTAGATATTCCCTTGAAGAGGACCACAATCCGGATGGTTGAAACGTTGGAATAAACTGTTAAACCACCCAGCCAGTTTAAAGTCGTCTAATAATTTTTCTTCCCGTTGCTAATAAAATATGCAAGAGCCGAAATCGAATCCACGGATGCCTCCCTCCGAAGGACGTCGCGGAGACAATTACGCAATCGAGATGCCCTCGTATTCCTTCTCATTTCGCAAAGAGCGGTCGCATTGTTCCAGAGGCGAGTCGCCGAGACTCGAGACGATACAACGTAACATTTTCGTTTCGCGCCATGACGACGGTTGGGTGGCGAGGAAGTAAATCAATCAATCCGCTGAATGGCCCATTCTTCCTCCTCCTCCTACCGCCACCCCTAACCGGCAATACCACCCTTCCGACTGCAGCCATTCATCGAGATACACTCTGGCATTCATGATATTCCGCACGATTGCGGGAGATTGAGGTGACTCGGAGATGGAAGAGCCACACCACCGTCCTTTCCTCTCTCCCCCCCCCCCTCTCTCTCTCTCCCTCTCTCTGCGCCATCAACCTTCTTGCCGTTTCCCAAGGAAGCCGCCGCTGCGGAGACGGAATTAGCATCTCCATTAGTCGCGAGGGCATAATGCGATATTACCGGAGGTACACGGCTACCGGAGAGGAAGTGAGACAATGGTCCGCCATGCTACTCGTCGTATTCACGGTAATACCCGGTATCTATCGGTCGACTTTGGTCTTCGAATCTTATAATACCCGGCCGAAGGAAGTCCTACTTACCGTGAGTTGTGTAATTTCGGACGAGTGCCGCAATTAGATCGGCAAAATCTCGTCTAATTACATCGGTAGGAAGGCGCTTATTTTTATTAAAAGGATAACGCGCCGCGCGGCTCGGCGATGGCGCAAAGATCGAAAAGCAGCGATGTTAACTTGCATCCAGTATGTATATCACGAGCGGTTTGCGCGCTTTACGCGGCCTTTATGACCGCGAAATTAATTAACGTGGCGGCGAGTCGCTGGGCGCACCGGTGACGTTTTTCTGTGATTTAATTTCCGCCGTTGTCCGCGCTCGTCGCGGAATAATTGAGTAAAAGGTGCACGAGCGTCTTACGGAAGGGTGGAAAATCCTAGAGAGAAATTGGGAAAAGGAGACTTTTAAGGGGGCTGTTTGTAAACGCCCCGGGATCGAAGATACATTTTTCTCGGCGCGAGAGTCTCTCAAAACGCTCGTAGGGCACGTCTCGGATTTTGCGAGCGTCGTAGAACGAATCGACGGGGTCGGGCGATGATATTTCCGATTCAGCCTCCATTAACGGAACGTGACGATAAAGCTGCAACTGTTATTATCGCCGTCGTTTACGGTGCCCGATGGCCCCGAGTGTGCGGGCTCGGTCGTATATCGGTGCTCGCCGTTTTCCTCTCTTCTCCACCTCTTTTTTTTTTACCCTCCCCTCGTCGCCGCTCGGCGTTTTTATTTTCCCCTTGTCTCGACTTCGCCGCAGATACAGAGCCAGCGAAAACATTTTTGTCGTTCCTCAAATCGCTCCGGAGGCGACGTCCCCGTGACACGAAATGACTTACTAACGACCGCGGCATAATCGCGACTGTACGACGCTCGACGCTCGACGAGTTTTATGTCCGAGGATTAGAGCGCGGCTCACGACGTTAAAGCGGTTACGGCGCAATTGCATCGCGCGGAGATCGCGGATCGTTTATGATCGAGATTAATGGCGAGTGCGATAATGCCAAGGAGGAATTGTGCCTCCGAAGGTACGTACGCCGCGCCGCGATTTCGCGCTCGAGACCATCGGGAGAAATTACTTCTCCTTGTTTTTCCCGCCTTATCGTATTATCCGCGTTATCGTACCCCCCCCCTTCCCCCGACTTTATCGTATTAAAAGTACAGCGAGGACGTTTACGATATCGTATACTGTTTTGCGAGCATTCGTTGTCGTCGTCGTCGTCGTCGTCGTCGTCGATCGTCATCTTCGTCGCGCTGTGTACACTCGCTCTCTCGCGTCGTAGCCTCGGAGAACTCGCGCGTCAAAAGCCGCGACCGTGAAGCCTGTATAAGGAGACCGAACTCCCGCAATCAGAGTGGGCCTACATTTTTGAGACTTATTCGTTCCGAAAAGAATCACTGGAGCCGCCGTCAACGGACAACTCGATTCGCATTCGTGCGTGTCACATGGTTGTCATATGCATGAAGCCTTCGTGAGAGTTCCGCTTGGAGTGCCGAGCGGCGTGGACGTTTTTACCTAATCTAATTGGGAAGTAAAAGTGAGCGAATTCACAGGTTGAAATTACAAATATTCTAGTATTCACTCACTTTTGTAATTTTCGCAAGTTCCCGAAATCGACCCCCGGATAACGACGGTTATACGCTGTACGAGGTCTGTTCAAAAAGTATCGCGAATTTTGTGTTTTTTCAACAATTATTTATTTATTCATGAATATCTATGTTGTCCCCTTCAAAGTAATCCCCATCAGATATTATACACTTGTGCCAACGTTTTTTCCAATCTTCGAAGCACTTCAAAAAATCCTTTTTTGTGATCTTGTTCAGCTCCTCCTTCGATGCCGTCTTTATCTCCTCAATCGTGGCGTAGCGTCGTCCTTTCATGGGCCTCTTCAGTTTCGGGAACAAGAAAAAGTCACAGGGGGCCAGGTCTGGGGAATACGGTGGCTGCGGCATCATTAGTGTGTTGGTTTTGGCCAGAAATTCGCGCACAAGCAACGATGATTTTTGGTCGAAAGTGAGCAATTTTGGTACGAATTTCGCGGCGACCCGTCTCATGCCCAAATCATTGATAAAAATCGAATGGCACGAGCCAATCGATATGTTTAGGTCCTCAGCAACTTCTCTAACGGTGATTCGACGATTGGCCAATACTATTTTCTTCACTTCATCTAT